AAAATTATACCGGCGGCTACTTCATTAACCTTGGGTGTTTCCCTCCAGTTTATTCACACAGCGCGCACAGATTTCTCGAAGATAGTAAACGCGGCGCAGCAAGAAAACCTACCCAAGTGCGACTTCCTATATTGAAGCTCTTCCGAGATTCACCAACTGCTTCCGTTCGTAAAAAAAAACGCTCAAATTTCTTGAGGCATTTTTCCAGAAAAATTGTTCATATTATAGTTTTTAAAAAGAAGAAACGGCCCAGGGCGTTTGTATATATTATAAAGCTGCTTATTTTTTATGTTTTTATTGCCCCGCGGTGGCAACAACCTTGAGAGGAAAAATCTGAGGCGAATATTCGCGGCGGCCTCCGGAATTCCTAAATTAAAACTTTGCAAGAGATGAAGTTGAGCTGACCGTCTTGAAAGGTATATCAAACGAACTCCAAAACTTGCGGTAACCTCAAAAACGATTACATCTAAAAATAAAACTAATGTATTGTTAAAATTATAACATTCTGGGTTTCTGATCTTAATAAAATTCAAGTGCAAATACAAATAAATGTAAAAATAAAACTCGGGTGAAAAATAAACCTTTTATTACAAGGGTAAATTTGGGCTCCAATTTCAGTAAAACATAATATTTGCTGTTTTAATTACACTTTTGTTCTAAAATTCAGGACAGAATTAATTGATAAAATAAAAAAAAATCAACATTTTCAATTAAAATTATATAAACATTTCGCTTCAATTTATCACTGATATTTGTAATAACTAATTATTCCAAATCAGGAAAGCGCGAATTGTTTTTGTAATAATTTAATTAAGGTGGTCGAGTTGAATACAAATTTTCTCACGCCGATGTAGTTTTTGTAACCGTGAAGTTTGTTGTTGTTTGTTGCAGGTCTTGTGTCTTGAGCGTAGAGAAAATTAAATTGCGCGGCAACGCTGCATTTTTATAGTATTATTTTTTATAGGTGGCCGTGGGCAATAAAGCCGAAGACGACGAGCATCTTTCTAGCCTCCCCCTTTTGATATTCGGATGATGATGATGATGATGCCAGGTGTCTGAGATAACAAAACCCCAGCAGCCTTCCCTTCTTCTTCTTCGGGCTGCGTTCGGTGGCGAGAGAGAACGGAATAAAAAAAAAAAACCAGCGGCCGCTTCTTAATTTTAACCTGCTGCTTTGCACCTTGCGAACACACACACCAACCAACGAACCTACATAATGCGTGCCTTGGCTGCGTGCATGCGTGTCTATCTAGGAGCGCCCGTTCACCTCGTCAGGAACAAGTTCTCCAACGAACTTACACGACGCCTTCTTCAACATTGTATTAGAGCAGAGGGCTCTTCAAAATTACTTCAAATTAAAAAATCATGCAATCGAATCCAGCTGAAAGTGATTCTCACCACATTTAATTTAATAATTCAATTCTAAATATTTTTCAATAACAAAAATGAAAATAAAAATTAAATTTTTTATTTTTCTGTCAGAAGAGTTTTTCTCCTCAGACGAATTGTTGGATTATTAAGACCAAAAGGACCGACTATTTTAAGTAGATTTGTTACTACCCTCAATTTGAACGGTTTTGGTCTCTTTTCGCAATTCTTTTTTTAAGATAATTTAGGATTTTTTATAAATTAATTGTTTACTGTGGTCTCTGAGGCGTGTACATAAGTCAATCATTGCATCGTTCACCAAAGATATATAAAATATTTTATCTATTCTAAAATTATAAAAATTATAAATTCTTAAAAAATAATATTTATCTTTATCTATGAAAAAAATCCGACTGTTATTTATTCGGTTCTAAAAGTAAATTTTAACCTTAGAGAGAGCTCAAATATTATACTTAAATGATGAGCCCCAAGTCCATGAAAGTGTAATTATTCTAACTCAAAATAACCAAACCCTTCTGAAAATTCCCAAAATTCAAGGCATTGATGGATTCTATTAAATTTCGGGATTTTTTAACGCAATAACTCCTAATAAATCAATATATGCTTTTAAGCTGTGGAAATTATCAATTCCTTAAAATTGTATAAAAAAAACCTTCAGAATATCTCGCAAAGATTTCAAGAACAATATTTTTTTTAATTAATTGGCAAAGTGTGAAAATTTTTTTATAGTTCAGAAAAAAGAACGTGTGTTTTTGTTTTTCGTGCAGCTGGCATTGAGACGTCAAAGTTGAAATCAGCAGTGAGAGAGCAGAGCTAGGCATATGGTCATTCAATCGGCACTGCTTCGAATTTCGCGATTTTTTTTTGCCATTCTGTCAGCAGCTCCGCGCGTCGCCGCACCTCTGAGTCGCTCGATCGCTGTTGGTTGGCAGAAATTTATTGTTCTCGCTTTGTTGCTGCCTTTTGTCTTTGCAGAGGGGCAAATGAGAGTGGTGTCGTTTCTAATCAACAACCATGTATATATGCGTACGTTCGAGGGCAAAAACAATTGGTCTGCGAAAACTAATCTGTGCGCTCTGACTTTCAATTCATTCATCGGTCGCATTTAGCAGCAGACCCAGGTGCTAAACTCGCGGCCGCAAAACGCACGGACGAGTCCCTCTCTTTGTTATTATATTTATTATTTTCCTCTATTGTTTAATTCAACAGCTATATGGGAAGAAACGGGGACCAACCCCCGTCGAGCTCAGTCAGTCTATGTCGGTCAGACGCCTCTGCGCGTAAAAATTACACAGCACTTAAATAACCCGGGAATGATATTATATGGGGAGTAATGAGCGCGGTGGCCTGCTGCTGCTTTAATGAGATTTCGGTGTAGAGACGCGAAAAAACACAGGATATAACAAATTTCGGGCTCTCTCACACGCGTAAACATCTGGGGAAGTGTAAAAAAAGACCTAGTAAAAAAAATATTAAATTTGGTGTTGTAGAGTTTTAAGGGAATAAAAAATATGGTTAAAATAAAGCATAATTTTTTTTAAATATCAGATTTTATGTATTTTAAATAATATTTTGGTATAAATTTAAACTTTTTTTAATTTAAAACTAAATTAATTTAAAAAAAATAGACAATGCATAATATTGCGAATTGTGAAGAAATTATTATTGTTTAGTTTAATTTTACCAACTTATTATAAGACATTTTAAGTTTTGAAAAAATATCAATTGTTAATTGTTAGAAGGGACGCATTGAATTGTTGGCTAAAACGACACCTTCACACAAGCAAGAATGTAACTTCCAAGATCAAAGTTACATCTATTCTGACGCAGAGTGAGCCTGATGTAAATTTTGAAAAAAAAAAGATGGTAGTTTTTTTTAAATAATAAAATTTTTTAATTAAAATTTTATTAATTGGAATTTATAGAAAATTGAAATCAGAATCTTAAAATAAGCAACTTAAAATTGTTATAATTTTTGTAAAATTATAATAGGGGAGAAATGAGATATGCTGATACAGATTAATAAGCACAATTTTTTTAATAGTAATGTGCATTTATGAACATCGAGTTTAAATTAAAAGCTTATATTAATAAATTTAACCCCTTCCGTTTAAAATTTTATGCAACTATTTTGGAATGAGAATTTTAAATTTTTGTGTTTTGAAAACATATTTTGGGCACTTTTTTTTTTAAACACTATTGGAATTGCTGCCGGGTTGAATTATTTTCTCTAGGCTTCTCTCTGGTCTCTCTCAACTGGCAACACTCTCCGCGCGCGGCACGAAACCAAAAGCCCATCGCAGGGGCGAGTCAAGGCCATCATGGTTACACAACCTGATACATCTTTCCAACAGCGAGTTATAATTTTTATTTCAAACTACTCACGGCACAACAAAGCGCCCGCCTCCTGCGTGCGCGGCCGCACCGCCGTGCAAACGAAAACGAAACGCAAAAATTTGACGCCGAGAAGTAAAAAATATAATTTTTGAGCTTGACGCCAAATTCCTTGCTGCATCATTCACAGCATTTCACTCATTTATATGTAGCATGAACTTCTTAACCTTAACTTAAGCATGAAGAAAATTAATGATTTTTTTCTTCATTTACTGGAATACATTAAAATATTTGCGAAAATCTATTTTTTTTTAAGTTTCAAGAGCAAAAAATATTTTCCTTCTCTTGTGTTATCTTGTCGACCAAAATACTTTCAATAAAGCGCAAATACAGCATTAATCTGACGCACTTTCTAAAAAAATTATTTCCTGATGAAAAAGAAAAGAATATATTTTTTTTAAATTTATTATTGAAAGAAAATAAATCGATTGTTGCAAGTAAAAATAATGTAAAAAAATTAAATTAGGATCATAATTGTTTCAATAAATATTCAGTTTCAACTTTTATTTTATTTTTTTTTAACCCCACTCTACTGGATAAAAAAAATCGTAAAAATTTTTATTTACACGAAGTGTTAAATGTGAAGAAAATGTGTGCGAAAGAAAATATCCTCTCTCTGTAAATGACCGCATAGTCAACTCTTGGAAGGCTCTTCTCAAGTTCAGTGATGATGAATGCAGCCGCCAGCAAAGAGGTTGAGTTTTCTTTTTCATTCATAGAAAATGCTTTTGAACGCCGAGTGTAGAGCGTATATTAAGAGTATACATAAGATTTGGAAAAAAGCTGGGCAGACGCCGGTGGCGAGCCGCTCGCACGACTGTCAAGAGGCAGCGCGCCTCAAATAGTGGTCATGAGTTCACGATCCCGTTATTAAAGACTCACTACTCGGAATTACTTAAGCATTTAAGAACCAACTGCGCCGGTCTGGCTTTAGTTAGGAGTGCCCTGGGTAATTTTCATAATACATAACGCGCGGACAAACTAATTATTTATGAAAAAGAAGGTCCCAATTTTTTACAGGAAAAAACACTCAGCTTGGATGAAAAATTCATTTATAATTGTTTTGCTTCGGGCTCCAAATGAAAAAATAATGATTTTTTTACACAAATGAGCTGTTTTTGTTAAGAAAAGAAGTTTTTAATCTTCAATTGTAACATTGATTTAAATAAAATTAAGTAAATTGTAAAAGTATAATGCAGCCAACAGGGGAGATTTAGATGAAATTGAACATGATTCAATCTCTATTTACTTATCTTTATTAAATGGCTATTTTCATAAATTAAAGAGGTAGGTCATTTTCCCTATTTGAAAACTTACTTACGTTTCCATTTGTAATTGAAATTAAAACAGATTCATGAAGGATGAGGTGGAGCTGCTGCTCTGGTCACCAAAATTGAAAGCAAATCCTGAGTTTTGCTGTTGAGAAGGTTGAGTATTTTTGTCCACTGAGTTGCCACCGAAGGCATCAGCAAACATTCCACTGGCACCAGCAGACGACTCAAAGAAACTTCCAAATGAACCAAAAGCTAAAATTTTGAACATTAAATGAATGACAAAATTACGTTTATTAAATGTTATGATTCAAACCTGCTGGGTTTGGAGGAGGTGGTGGAGGGCGGAGGAAAACATCATCATTCTTATTGGCAAGGGGCACTGGTTCTGGCGCTTGCAGCTGCGGAGCAGGATTTTCTATGGGAATAGCACATAGAATTTCATCAATAATTTTCAATTCAAACTGTAAAAAAAACTAAATTACCTGGAATGGATGGGGTTGCAGCACTTGAGGCTTCAGCATTCTTGTCCCCATTCAACAAACTCAAGAAATTCTGCAAGTATCCATTGTCAGAAGTTCCACTTGATTTTAGACTTCTTGATTGAGTTTCAACTCCAGTAGGGTCCTTTAAAAAATTAATTACTTATAACAAAAGGTTAAATCTAAATAACTAAATAAGAAAAGGTACACTTTGAAAGGCTAGAGATAGAAAAATTTTAAAATAACACCTCTTCTCCCAATGGTACTGAAGGAGTAGCCATTAAGCGTTTCATGAATTCCATGCGCTTCTCGTCATCCATCAAGTTCATGACTGAGTCAGTTGTGCTTTCTGTGCCCTGCGAAAGCTGCTCGTCCTGAGTCTGCTGCTCTAAATTCTTATCTGGTTCAAGATTTTGTAATTCAAATGCATTCAAAATTTAAATTTTTTAACCATGCATACCCTCAGGAAGCTGCAGATCGTCAACTACAGGAGCAATTGTCTCAAGTGACTGCTGCTCGTTTTGTAAATCTTGAGGAGCTTCTGTAACCTGGCTGCTCACTTCGTCCGTCATCTCAACGTCAGATGGAAAGAGGCCAGTCGACGGCTCCTCATTTAGTGGCGGCGCAACCAATGGCTCCTCATTTGAAGGCGGCGCAACCAATGGCTCCTCATTTGGTGGCGGCGCAACCAATGGCTCCTGGATTTACAAAGAAAATTAATTTTACTGGGAAAATTACTGTCTCAACCTTTGTAATCTGATTATTGGTAGCAACAGGGGCTTCAGTTATTTCCTCAACAGGTACAACTTTCTCCATCGGAACCTCAACAATTTGCATCACTTCTTGACGCTGCTCGGATTCTGGAGCAGCTTTGGTATTTTCCACAGTTGTTGGAGCATCAGACACAACTTCAGATATAACTTCCCTGACAGGGGTAGGAGCAATGGCAGCTGGCACTGAATTTGGGACTTTGAAATTGTTGAATTCAGCGCTGGGGGACTTCTTGGTGACTTTAGGGCTGCTAGTTTCAAAGTCCTAAATATAACAGGAAATCAGAAATGATATTTCTTTCTTTCATTTTCCTAAATTACAGCCATCTCTAATTCCTGCTCAAAATTGACGATGTTTTCCAAATCATCGTAATCAGTGCTTTCATCACTCATATCATCAATATCATCTAGGTCTTCCTCATCTAGATATTCCTGAGATTCTTCGATGAGCACTTCATCAGACATCTACAATATAAGAGATATAAGATTTTATTTTGATTTTAACTGGAAAAATAAACTTCTACCTGAATTTGTTCCGGTTTCTTAGCAAGAGATTCCATCAACCCCTTCAGTTTGAACTGACTGCTTTTCTATATGTTGGCATAAAATTTTATTATTAATAAAATAATAATGTGAATTATATAACTTGCCTCCTTAGTTTCATCCTTTTTCAATTTTACTGAAAAATTCAAATGTATCGTTAACTTGTTAAGGCTGTTATTGACAAAGATAATTTTTACTTTCATATTTTTCAATTTCAATCTCCATCATTTGAATTTCATCCCTGATTTTGTCCTTCAACCTGATCAGCTCCATCTTTTCGGCAGCCAAACGTTGAATTTTGTGGTGTTTTGCAAGCTGCAAAACTACTTTCCTCCAATGGTCATCTAATAAAATTAATTTCAAATAAAAAAAAAATTAAAAAATGTTATTCCAAATTTTAAGCTAAAAAAAGCTGAGATTGCGTCCATATCTTTCTCATTCAATAACCTGCAAGCTGTTCACGAGATTTGATTTTCTGATCCAGCTTATCATTCTTCCTAGCAGTCTTCTCAATCAGTGCCTCGATGGCTCGCAGGTCTTCTTCAGCTTTCAGTTTATCCTTCACATGAGGCATGCTCTTGTAGACAACCTTAAATGTTATAGATTAATTAAACAGGTTCCGAATGAATTAGTCGAATGTCCCACTTCGTAGTTTTTCCACATGTCCTCGTACTTCTTCTTCGTCTGCTCGAACCCTTTCACTTTGTTATCCATGTCATTTTTCTCCAAATGCAGCTGCCTCTCCAAATTGGCAACCAGTACCTCCAGCATCTGCCTCGACTGCCTTTTGCTGCAAATTCATATTTCTTAATTATGTAATTAATGTTGATAGACAGCCCCGCAGCTTAGCTAACCCTTTCAGATTGTCCTTGACGGACTTGTTGGTCGCCAGGGTGTTCTTCAGCTGGGTATCCAAATGGGCAAATTTCACGGTCTCTTTCTCCAATTTAGCAGCGAATCTCTCTTTAGTCTTGGCTAACCCTGTGAAATCGGGGAAAATGATATTTGAAAGAATTTTGTAATCTTTGCACACATACTTTTCAAATTTTCATTCTGTTGCAGAATGGAGCGGTCGATTTTCAACGTCTCTTTTTCAAGCTCGCGGAAAATCAACAGATCTTCAGAGAAAGCAACGGACGGTGTCAACGGTGGATTCATTTTTCCAAAACGCGATCGTCCAGAAATTCAAATTTTTAGAACGTTTGCACGGACGACAGACGACAGGAAAAATATTTATATACAACAAAACAAAAATTTGCGAGAAGATTCGCGAGTAAACGAGACTCACGAGAGGGGAGAAAGAGAGAGGGGGGAAGGGGAAAGGCGCGAAGATGAATGATGAAAAAAGAGCGCGAATTGCACGGAAAAGGGAAAAATTTTACCAATATTAATTAAATAATTTCTTGATTAATTAGAATTTTATTTGAAACATGGATACATTATTCTAGAAATTAAAAAGTTATAAAAGAAAATTAAAAGCCACACATAATAGTCCGCGAATCAGAGCAATTCAGACCAGATTTGGATATTATTGTTTGATTTGGTTCAATTTCAATTGTTGCCAAGAATTTTGATTTGAGCAGCCATTACATTGCTTCTTTGAGATTTGTGCGTATATTTTTTAGAATTAAAAGCATAAAACAAATTTTTAAAAACTAATGTTGTTTTTGCCACATAATATTTTTTATATTAAACCAATTAAATAAAAAATGGTTGGTTTAAATTGACGCTGATTTTGATCAATTTCAGTCTCTTTGAATAAAAAGTGAGTCTCCTATCTCTTGGAGCTTTTTTCGATTTCTCTTGAGGACGAAAGCGTCGTTTTGCGTGGCGAGATATATCTGCACACGCGTCATGCATTTACGGCATCGGGGCGGAAAAGCTGCGAGGGAGGAAATTTCGCCTCAATGCATGATGAGAGGGAGGAGAGAGAGAAATCATGGCTTCTTCTTCTTCTGCTCTCTCTAATGTGGTCTCTCTCTTGCTCGCATATGTACATATACATACGTATATACCGAGCATTCTACTCTCATTACACGCAGCGTGTATATATGGAAATAATAAGCATGGGTCCGAGAAGAACGTCTCTCGAATACGTCGCGCGGCGAGAGAAATAATGAGACCCCTCAGGAAATGTTGGTTGGCTCCTCGCACGCCGAATATAATAATTCCCCCGCAAAATGCACTTACGCCGTGAAAAAGAGAAAAAAAGAACCAAAAAGCAGCAAAGGAGAAAAGAGAAAAAAGGAATAAAAAAGCTGCCGCACAAATGTTAAAGAGCTTGTCTTTAATAAAAACGATTTCCATAAATTTGCAATTTTTGGAATTTTGGCCTGTCACACCTTGACTAAAAAGTCTAAATTTTTTGTGCCTATAGTTTTAGTTTTACAATAAATGAAGTTTATTCGTGGTTTAGAACAAGACAATCTCTGCGAATTAGATTTGGTTGATTTGCATGTTTAAAAATTAAAAATGTACAAGGAAAATAGCCAATTCTATTATTTTTTTCCATAGAAGGTTTTTTAAAGTTTTGATTTATCTAGCTGTCTTCTTTTAACAGGATAAAAATAATTTATTTCATGCAATTGTTCTAGTGTTTATTAATATTATTATTATAATCTACAAATTTCAAAGATAAAAGTGCCACAGAGACTTCAAAGGCGCATATTCAAAAACTAATTATTGGAGTGATGCAATTTTATATCATATATTATAATGTGGTGGCAGGAAACTCATTGTCAGTAATTGTGAAACAATCGTTTCGGGAGAGGAAATGCCTGAGTGACTAATTAAGTGCACAGCCAAGTGAGAAACGAACCCTTGCGTATAATTTTTTTTTCCAAAGAAGCAAAAGAACACACCAAGAAGAAGAAACCGCGCGACCAATTAGGCGGAAAGAAATCTCTCTCCCGGGAGAGATGTAATTATATTGTGTGTGTGTTGCTTCTGTTTTACTCCTTCTTGGAAAACCGCTTTACGACGCGGCGTGATTATTTTATATATTCGGGGCCGCTGCAGACACGAGAGGAATTTTTGACTTTTCACATTCCGTGTACGCAATTAAAAATAATAAAAATGGCCCTCGCTCCTTTCCTAGCCGGATCCATTTCGACTTCAATAATCACAAAATATCGCCTCAAAACTCTCTGCTATAATAATGTTTGTGCTGGAGCTGGACACAAAATTGTCCAAATCGCTGCAAGTGGAAGCATAATTAAAAGAACAAGCGAAGAAGCTCTTTAAAAACAAAGAAAAATGACAGATTCAACGTATATAGGAGCAGAAATTGAAAATTATAACAAATGTCTCGTTCTTTCCTCAAGAAACGTGTGGAAAAATTATTTTCGGGAAATATAACAAATTCTTGAAAAAACACTTAGCTTAATATAGTTTTTTTTTTTTTTTAAATTTAATATTTCTATATTGTCATTAAATTTAGATTATTTAATTCTGATTTTACAAAATTCTATTCAAAAGCTGAATTTATTTTTTATTTGGTCGTTTATAAGGTAAAAAATGTACCCAATAAACGTAAACAGAAGTCAATAGTCAATCGAGGCTCAGTCACTGCTATACGAGTATCTTTTTGATCTTAGAAGCTTTTGCAAAATCTTTGCTTTTGTTGATGCCTTATTGTCTAGCAATTCAATGTTTCCCTTCCAAATAAATTTTTTCTTTTTGTTAATATGTATAATTTTTTGTTACGATTGTGTAAACAAAACAACAACAAAAAATTTATCGGAAAACGTTTTAAACATCCCCTTTAGAAATCCGAGTTTGGTGTTTGGGGAATATTTTTCAATAAATCTCTACTTTCGCCTACACACACGTCTCGTTAATATACAAAATGGTGCAAAGCGACGCCGCGCCGAAGTGTCACCTAACGCGCGCCGCCTGTGATAGGCGAGGCGTCTTTTGTGTGCATAATATATTGAATTTTCGAGAGGGCGAGTGCAAGAAGAAGCCGAGAAGAAGGCGGAGGAGGAGGAATTTTATTGCCATTCGAGCGGCGTTGCATATGCTGGCACCCCAGGGGCCATCAACTCTCGCAAATGGCCTTAGATTAAAAATCAATCTCGGCGCCGGGCCGCGAGGGAAAATGTGAAAATATCAACAAATCTGATCGTATTATACAGCAGCGTATCGATTTCGCGTTAAAGTCTGATTGGAAATGCATCAAAATATTTTCGTTTGAATTCGAAATTCAGTTTTTGCGAAGAGCCCTCTCGAGCTTTTCGCCTCTCCGGATATGAGGCGTCAGGTTACGTGCAAATATTTCAGCTAACTGGTCCCGCATTTTAATTTTTCTCTCCTCGCCTGTTCTTTGCTTTTTTACACTAGAAAAAAAACAAGATTTTCCTCGCCTAGGTAAACCAGAGCTGCCCGCATTTCATCACTATTGTGTGTGGGGTCTATGCTTGTATATGTGGAAACAAGACCTGCTGCCTCTCCGACAAGGTGACACGTTTTTTGCGGGCTTCGTTTTAGTGTATATAGTCGAGGACCCACAAAAAAATTGTGTAAGGAGCTTCGAAATTTCCTAGCTTGGCTATTAGAGTTTTTTAAGGATGTGGGCTAACTTATTATGCGCAGATAGAAGGAAAAAAAACTTGATGGCTTTATTCGAAAAGGATGAAAAAGTGCGGGTATTCTTCTTATTAATATAGGCTTAAAATTCTTATAATATATGGCCAGCAAAGAATAAAAACCGTTTTTTTCCTAAAAATTTTAATAATTGATTAATGGTGTAAGAAGATTCTTAAATTATTTTTAATAATTAAAATTTGGATGATTGATTTTAATTTAAATATGTTTCCTGTATAAAAAAAATCAACATCAAGCCTCCAAAACACTGCGCTTATTTGCATCAACTATAAATTAATTTACATTTTGTAAAAATAATACCTTAATTCGCACAATTAATGAACACAAAAATCCACTTTATAAACAAACTGGAAAACATTTAAACACTTCAACCAATCACGAGTTTTTCTTCTGATTCTTTGAAGAAACGGTCCTATTCTGATCACTTCCGAACCAAGACTAACTCTCTTCTCTCAAATTTTTTTTTTCATTAACCGACTTTGTCTGAATTGTCTGCGCGTTGCAACAATAGTCCGGAATTAATTCAGCCCATGCAAAACGCGCTCGGGTATCACTCCCTGATTATTTGAATTATTTATTTATGCGCGCGGCCACTTCATCTCTGTCCTGCATATTATTTTTCTGCCGATGAGAGAGCAATTTATGCATGTGTTGAGAATCTGCATTTTGTTTGGGGAGGGCGATGCAACCCCTTGCCGCGGGAAAAGAAAGAATGAGAGAAAATCTTAACGCATGAGCTAATTTTTATGCGCGCCGGAGAAAAATTACTGCATTGTTCATATTCATGTGGAGATGCTCCGCGAAGGCAGAAGAGACATAAAAAATCTGCTTTCCCATCGAGAGGGAAAAGAAAAATGCGCGTGAAATGCGCCGGGGATATTCCGATTTCTTTAATGTGTCTCATGAATAGACTCTTCTTAGGTATGCGCGTATGCTAATTTTTATAGAGGGACATGCAAAAGAGGGGATCTTTCCACTCTCGATTAAAATGTTTTTGGCAAATGGTTTTATTCTAAAATATTTCTTTCACTTCTAAAATTCTCCTAGATCAAAGATTGTTTTCATTTTGAACATATTCTTTTACGTTTGCGAAACAAAATTTTTTGGAGCTCAATTAATTTGATGAGCAATTAAAGCAGATTTATTCATTTAGAATTTTTAATGCGTAATACACGTTTTTTAGTCCTGAATGAAAATTTATTAAATACAATAGTCGAAAAATATTCTCCATCGACTGCCTTCATTATTCATAATTAATAAAGCGGTTTGAAGGTAATTAATTTAATTTAAAAAAAATCATTTCTTAATTGTATGTACTCTTAAAATGTTATTCATCGACTAGCAGAGGAGCATTATCATAAAATATATAAATATATAGAAAAAAATATTAATAAAATAATGATTGCTATTTTCCAACACAAGTGCCGACTTATATTTGATATTAGTGGTTATTTTTAGTCGCACAGAAGAATGAATAGCAGAATCATGAACTTTCTTGATAAACATGACCAGCGGGAAGCCTACTTAAAAAAAATTTGCACATATTGAGAGGGAAAAATGTAAGAAATTGAGAATCTTCTCACAAATGATCTTACAATTAGTGATTTAATTAAATCTAAAGCAAAAGCCAGCCTTTCATTTTTGCAAAATTGAGGAAAAAAGTCTCATAATTGTT